AAGTCTCAAGGTCACAATAGTTAAGTCATTGGCATAAGATAATGGCGACAAAATTAAAATCATGAGGTTTAATCACCGACTGTAGCTTTGAGCCTTGGATTCTAGACAGTTGTTAAATTAAACGTTTTACCTAATTTATCCAACAGAAGCAATCATCATGACATTAATGTCTTTCTTTCTTGTCTATTAATACATGAGTAATTATCGAGTTCGAAGTTCTTTCACCTATCCGATTATTGAATATCAAATAATCGAACTATATTTATCTCATTTGTAACACTATTTATCATAAGATTAAGAACTAATTTACGAATTGACTTTCACTTTATGTCAGAACCTTCATAGAGTGAGGGCCAAACTGTATGAACGTCGGAGCTTGCGATAGAGTCTAGCATTTTGACCTATAACATGCCTATCAAATACCAATAATAATTATGGCAAATGTATGGATCATAACATTAAGCACTATTTACATTGTAGCAAACAGTATATTCCATGCAGTTATCAAAAACACAACTAAACATATTCTTATATGTCACTATATCATAAACACAACACATAAAGGTGTCAACTGATCGATGATTTTGCTTAATCCTTCACTTAAAAGCACCAAACATGTACCGCCAGGGCAGCTAAATTATATGCCGACCATAAGCAAGTTTCTACCATATAAATGGCACCACAACCCGACACGTATCCACCCTATTCTTTATGTTAAGATTCGTGAAACAAATCGTAACTCACAATGAATTGATAACGTTGACTGCATCAGGATAATGAAGCAGACTACATAGAGTTTCATATCCCTTTTACGACCTGCATAGTTCCAAGTACTCTACGAACAGAAGCTGTATATCACCGGGCGATAACGGCCTTTAGTGATCCACTTCGAGCATCCATCAAGACACTGGACTGTAAAGAGAAGGCTTCATGGGCATTTTATCCATGCACAGAGGTATTGGCTGTGACGGGGGCTGTATACATGTGTATGCCACCTCTTTAAGAAGGAGATGGTCTTGAGGGAATTCACTACGAACCGCGTCAATAACACTTTGTGAAAATCGGACACATATGACTCGATAACAAGACGTTTAACGTTTAGTCTCAAATACACGTAATACTACAATTTATTTTCATCAGTTGATTCTTATCAATCAAGTTAAAGCATGTTTTTTTCTTGAAACAAAATAATGTATGAATGCAGTCGTTTGAAATATACTCAAAGGCATATATTTTTGTTACGTATAAAAGAAGAGAATCGGTAAAAACATTTTACTGCCGTGGGTGGAATTATACAACGTGAAAGGACCAATGTCTGAAGGTACGTTAATGGGTAATAGTCCACATAAAGAGCGCTCCTGTCACATGCAAATGAGGGGTTTAAGAGGCACGTTCATAGCGAGTGTGTTAATCTTGTGCATTGATGCAGGCCTCATTGAAGCCACTAAGGATTGAAGAAAGGCCTGTGTAGTGGCGTTCTGTATCGGAGGAGGGACATGTTCGAGTGGTGACAGATCACAGGATTGCAGGCAACGGTGGCATATTAACTTTGTCCTGTGCCAGATACTGCTGCATAACCCCAGCAACAGGTGGTCTGGCGTTATCGTGCTTGCAAGTCACTCGGTTGCAAAAACGTTTAGACTGTCGTTTGCCAAATGTCATTCCGGTATCTCGCAACATGCAAATTCCCATCAATCACAATCAATGGAGTCCTTCGTTTGCTGTTATTACCTTCACCTCCGTCCAGATCATGACGCCGCCACCTCCAAAACGATCGCATTCAAGAATCATGGTGTGATGTAACCATCAACTCGACGCCTGAAGACACGTGACCTGCCATCGGAACGGTGATGAAGGCAATGTGACTCATCTGTAGGGAGGACCCTTCTCCACTAACGTCCTGTCCACCGCAAGCTTTCTCCACACCGCTGGACGTTGATGTTGTGCCGTCAGAACTGACTTCTGGCTGGATGCCGCAGATGCGTCGACGTCGTCGGACTGTCCTTGCAGATACGCCTCTGTTGTCAGAGATGGTATGAGTGAGAGCTGCAATCTGGAACCTGTGTCTCTAACGTCGTTGTTTCACATGGTGTTCCTGTAGACCTTGACGTGATGTGCAACGTCGCGTTGCGTGGTATCGGACTGAAGCATTCCTACGGCGCGCCATCTGTAATTCTCACTTCGGCGTGGCATGGTCAAAATCTCATCAAAACGATCAAAAGTGGTGATTTCCCTAATTCTGCACTTCAGAAAATTGCTTAAAGTGGCGATGTGAAGGGATTGGATAGCTGGCCTTTTACAGAAATGTTTGGAGCTATTACTCCCGAACATCCTTCATCTCTTGCAAACACATGTCTTTCCATTTGTTTGGTTGCGTATCTTCGAGGTTTTTCATGATCAAGGAATAACAAGCATGACGATCGAGCCTTGTATGTACATGTAATTCAAGAAGACATAATGAACATTACTTCCATTGAGGTCATGACATTTAAGCAAGCGTGAGACACCGTGTCTTTGAATGATTGATATTATTTCGCATCACTCATTGTACAAATGTTGACGAGCTAACACGTAACACCAGGCAACCCAATCGTTAAAAGGAAGCAAAAGTGTTTAATTGTAAGTCATCCGTATATAAATATGAGACTATTGTTCGCCGTTAGGCACTACACAAAGTAACATGTGAAGCGTTTACTGACTTTATTTCATTACTGTTTTCCTTTTCTACTTTAATATTGTGGGGACTAGATATCGGGAAATTCAGTGTAGGTCAAACTGTGTCAAATCTGTTATCGACTATACGCAAGTCGGCTTACAAAAAAACAAAGCGAACCGGATTATGTGTCGGTTCCAACCGACTGACACATTATTCCGGATTATGCGTAGGTTCGTATCAGTCCAGCTGTCACAACAGGCGATACTATGTACTCCATCTGTTTTCATTTTATTGTTCACAACTGTAGGGCATACGTTCCCTGTGATGATGAGCACTGGGGGTCACGGCGTCCTATAGCATAAGTACTTCAGCCGTGCCAGAATATGCGTGCGTGTGTGTGTTTGTGTGTGTGTCTATATATGTGTGTGCGTCCGAGCGTGTGTGTCTGCATGTTAGTGTCTGTATATGTGTGTGTCTGACAGTGTGTACCCGTATGTATGTGGGTGTGTATGTGTGTGAGCGTGTGGGGGATGTGTGTAGTGTGTCCGCCTATGTGTGTCCGTGTGGGTATGCGTTTGTATCTGTTTCTTAGTGTCTGTGTGTGTATGTGTCTCTGTGTGTGACTGCATGTGTGTTATTGTCTGTAGTTGTGTGTGTCCGCATATGTGTGTCCGTGTGTGTATGTGTGTGTCTTATCTGAATGTCTCTGTTTGTTTGTGAATGTGTCTCTGTGCGACTTTGTGTGTCGGTTATTGTCTATCGTTGTGTGTGTCCTCATATGTGTGTCCATGTGTGTATGTGTGTGTCTATGTACCTCATTGTATTTGTGTTTGTGTGTATGTATGTGCCTCTGTGTGCGACTCTAGATCTGTATGTCTGTCGCTGTGTATTACGCAGAATGTATATTTTAATATATCATGACGTTGTTGGCCATGGTGTTGTGATCAGAGTCTGTCGTTTTGAACTTATCTTCTGCTGATATTGATAGAACTGACACTGTTAAACTTTAAATAAAGTGGTAATACCATCTGTAATCAATTATTTCCAGTCAGCTTCACTCGTGTCTTCGTTTGCTGTTAATATTCTCCCAAATGAAATCAGATGAGTTTGAAATGAATGATACAGCTATTTTCCAAGATCTTCATTAAACCCCTACCTTCGGGTCCCGAAGAAAACATTGTCTAATCTTGTCCATCACACCTTCTGGGCTTGCAAAATGCCAAATTAAAAACATGCGTCATAAGACTTTTAAAAGAATGTCAAACGTAATTAACTCTAACACTCTAGACATCTGGAGTTGTCATGATATGTTATTGGATCTGCAGGCAAGAAAACATATTTGATTAAAAGGACGAAAGGTCTCCTGCCTTATTAGCATCTTTTGTTAAGCTTGTGGAAACGCTTACGGCAGTGGAAACATACAGGACGGGGATATGCTCTTTACAACATCAAACATCAAACTGAAGGGACTGAGGTCTTTAAATGTTCGCCTGAACATCAGTTTGGTTGCTTTCGCACATGTCAATGGGTGGGTTTGGTGTGTCGTGTTAGTACAGGCTTGAAAGCAAGGGGAACAAAACGCAAAAACTCGTGTAAATGTCAGTGACATTGCTTTAAACTTCAAAACCGTCATTAATTTTAGCCACACTTTAGGTATTGTCATATCTCCGTTCTAAAGTAATTAGGGCTAAAATATGCTCATAAATAAATTAAATTGCCACACAATGTCTTCAAATTCATCTACATGTCCCTAAAATGATGGATTTGTCGCCGTGGTGTTCGGGTTGCCGGTGCTTCAGGACCGATCCTTTGTAACAGTAGGAATCAGGTGGCCACAGTTGTTCATGCTGCATGTGTGTCATCTCACCCAATCGGCGGGGGTAAGGTGAATAAGTATGTGCTGAATGGTATACACGGTCCTGCTGATACACATAACTCACTGTATATTTTACTCGCAAAGTATATTATATCTTAAAACGTGTATTTTTTCAAATCATACGTTGTAATTACACTTCTCCAAATAATAATATGAATACACAAATCCCTGAAAAGAGATGCGTGCCTTTTTGCTGTTTCAGCTATGCACGTTGTCCGGCATTTATGCGTGTAAGGGCTTTATAATGTCTATGTCATTAACGGGTAATCCACAAACAACAAAAGATGCAGACTCCCTGAAAGTCATTGGTAAAGATATTTACTCTGCTTGATAATCAGAGACGTTAAATATTCTGTCTCATGATCACATCTCACAAACATGACATCTATTGGTTAAGCGATCAAGTAATCGACCATGTTATTAAAGATGACTTCATGCATGATTGAACAATCTCAATTGCAAACTTACCTAGATTTTCAGCACCAGGAGCCTTGGCACTCCAGAGAGTATAGGATACGATAGAATATACAATGGTCATGAGGATTAATGGCACCACGTAGTTCGCCAATGCCAAGAATACTTGGTAGGCCACATCGGTTGTGTACGACCAACTCATGCGATTGTACACCAGATAATTGTCGATGTCCTCATACGTCTTCGTGATCTCCATAAAAATCAGATTGGGCAGTGCTACCAGAGATCCAGCGATCCAGATGACAACCATTGTTATAGATACTTTCCTGAAGGTTATGTCCGAACTGAGTGGTCGGCAGATGGCGTAATACCTCTCCACAGCAATACAGCAAAGTGTCAGGACTGACACGCAGACAGTTAGAGTCTGAAAATAAAGGAAATCATAAAGGATGAAACAATTTACTTCTTTGCGGACAGCATGATTGACTTATCTTAACTATGATCATCACCTGAGAGGAGATATGTGTGAAAGACGTGTCCTAGACATACAAGATAATGTCATTGACTCCAGAAGAAGCACATATATTTTGCATGCCATATTCTTTTAAGCTGAAATGTGTCTCACGCCTTATTTGAGGGAGCCATAGTTTTATCTGATCATGTACAATCAAACAGAGCATGTATAATATAACATTCAGATTAAACATTTTGCATATCAACTATACTGACATTTCCCCACATTGAATTTATTAATAATTTATATTGCAGTTTTATTTACGGTTTGACAAAATATTATAATATGAATAACAAAATTCATTATCACTTGTCAGGTTCACTAAAATGTCACCAGCCGGCAGTGAGGAGAGAGGAAACAACTCATTCATGAATATTCGTTCGTATATTAAACGTAGCATGTTTAACGTGAATATAAATTATTATTGCCCAAGATAAGGAACAGTGAGAAAACTATGTGTAAAATATTCATGTTTAAATTCAAACCCGGAAGGAATATTTCATAAATGTTCGCACAAATGTTTAGTTGACGTTAGTAACATAATTGCAAAACAAAATACAAGGAATAGTTGGAAATCTTTCACCTGGAAGCCTGGCTGTTTAATGCATGAATTGTGATATTATTCTTTTTATATTAAACTTTGAATATAACATCGTTATTCATAACAGAAGGTTTAAAGACAAAATATGATCCACTGACGACGTAGTTTCGACGCCACGACAGACACATGAGGTTAGTTATACCTTCGTGTTCATAAAATAGTATTTGTCTAATGAGTATGAAAAATGTTTCAGTCATGAACAATTTCAATTATATTCACCATCGAGTGACGCTTCAGCAACCAAAGCTATAGAGGATAATGTACAGACCTGGGCCCACTTGCACAAAGCGATCTTAGCACTACAACTATTGTAAGCCTATGTTAAAGTATGGGAGTTACGATCATCTTAGCGCTAAGATCGCTTTGTGCAAGTGGCCACTGTTCTGTTGATTCACAAGCGCAGGTAAGATTATCTCTCAATATGCCTGCGACATTTTGGACCAGTTTGATTCTAGATAGTTGAAAATCTTAACGCAGTCTCTTGTCTATACTGAGAAATAATTTATTTCCATGAATATTGAATGAAGCAAATCATACGAAATTCTAATTTTGTTTCCCGAGGCGAAAGTAAGATCGACACTGCAAAACGTTCTCATTACTGTTTTAGTTTTGGAGAAGTTCCCATCGATAGACAGGTGTCTATAGTCAGTAAACAAATCTAAAATAAGCAAACCATGGGACGTCGGATTCATAAAACTTATTCATCTGACGTCGTGATTTAACGAAAATCCTTTTCAGAGCTGCGTTCAAGCCAGGAAACCCACGCCTCAAATACAAATATACAAGAATCAACTGTAACGCCATTATTGAAGTGTCATACACTAGTAACAGATATCTTATACTTATATACATGTCCTATTCAGAAATACCTTTTCATGAACATTGTTAGTTCACTGTTTGTTTATATTAATCTCTTCCGTTACACCTTCCTCCCCAGTAGATATACGAGGGCTGATCAAAAGGTTTTAAGCCTAACAAACAAAATCAACAATTGTGATGACTGCTCGGTACTATCACGTTCAGCTGGCTATCACTAATATACAAACAACCTCAACCAAACACACTTGCAATGAACTACTCAAACAATGTGCCACAATGACTAGTTCATTTTGTTGTAGCCCATAGTTGAAAGTTAGTCAGGCTTATAACTTTTTGACCAGATGTCTCAATATGAAAGTAACGGTGTACTCCGAAAGCACTCTTGTTTAATGAAACGGACTGTACTAGGGATGAGCTGTGGTCTAGTGGTCACAGATATTAAGTGATCTGGGCTGTTTGATGACCAGGTGATCTGGGACTTAATTGCGCAAAGAAATTAGGTGATATGGGTGTACTACTGCTCTTCAGATACAAGTGAAGCAGAAGTATGCTTTGGAAACTTGCTCAAAATACGGAGCATTATTCTTGTGCACACGCATCAATGGATATACCAACGCAAAAATATTTTTTTTAAAAACTATGTAAATGCGCGTAACATTCAATGTCAGTTTGCGTTTCTGATTCCGTTTCTATCAAGCATGCGTTTATGAATCACAATCAAATAGTGTTGATACCAGGTGTTCGCGAAAAGGTGAATGTATCCTGCCCCCCGGTCTTCAATTGAGTAAATGTTGATTAAGCAATCGTCCTGATACATGCATATCATGGTAAATATTCGGGTCTGGACCAGACAAACCAGTAACTGAAAGTATGATCAACAATCCATGCCTTTGTGCACCCCCGCAACTCTAAGACTATCCAATCTATATAAATAGAGCGTAGCCTTCTGAAGATTATATTCCGGTAATCCAGCGGGGATGTAGCTATTTGAAATTACTGATAAATATAACCTTCCGTCAAAGTTTAACATTCCTTCATTAAGATCTATGTTTAGAAAACAGACATATGTGATTAAGATGATCAAAGAAGTATTTTGAGATTTCTGAGCTGCGGTGAGAATATTGTGGGTGTTTGATTGACTGACTCTGAAGGTCATGGACTTGATAAGGATAGGCTTCGAACTTTTCCCGCCCACCACATCTTATCAAGATTTTCTTCTTTGAAACTGAATGTGGGAAAAATTCATTTAAGAGGTGATGCCACTCTTGATAGAGTTTCGTTGCTCTTTGGCGAAGGGCACTTGGGGTTTCGTAATTCTATATATATCATGATGTGAACGTATGAACTGGAAAACTTTTGAAGTTTCCAAAAGAGCATCCATATCATGCCATGTTTTAGACATGAGTGCATACGATTCTGATGCATATACCAGCAAATGATTCAGGTCATGTACAAGTAGAAATCAAACGCTGCAACACCAAAAGCCAACAAGTTTGTCGCGCACAACGTTATCTGAATACGCTCATATAAATGCATTTCATTTCCTTTTTGGAACCTCCGAAATGTTTGTAATCGCAGTTTATGTCCGTTTACTGTGGCACAACCTCATCTTCCGATATATAGTTACACTATCTCCTCGTGCGATAAGCAGGTCATGTGGGAATAACGCTGTAGGCATTAGCCTCATATATAATCCAGTTGTATGACGGCGGCCGGTACATAATCGAGTCTGGACCAGATATACCAGTGGTTGATATTATCAGCAAGGTTCCATGCAGTCAAGGTACGATATCACGGGCCAACACTTTTGTGTTTGTGATAAAGACATAATACACGGAACGTAATGAATCAAATTGCCACTAGAAATCTCAGAAATAAGCCAAATGTGCTTCAAATGACACCTGAAATATATACACGTCCGTGGACTAAAACTAAATGGGTATGAATATTATGTAACGTGGTAAAACTTGGTCTTAATTTCTTTAACAAATGAAATTTCTTTTTTTTAACTTTGAAAAAGTCTCCATGGGCTAATTAGGTTCGACATATTTGAGATTTTTGACGAAACAAATACTGGGATAACAAACTTTTCACCGGATATGCTGGATTTCCTATCAGTAAATTGTCCGACTCTTTCTTTCTTACTGTTTTTTTCCTAAAAACAAAATCATACATACATCCGGTGGTCCTATAACTTACCAAGATTTTAAAGAGAGTTTACAGTTTAAGTGAAAGAATTTTGTTTTCCACGTTATTTTGTGAAACAGTATTCCACGATTTTAAAGCAACCTTAGTGTATCCAATAGTACCAGTACAGAAACACATGATATGATAGAATATGTTCATGCCCCGGCGTAGGCTGGTATACTCTTAATGCGCAGCCTGGGCATAGGGGCTCTCTTCAAAATTAGCTGCTGTGACCAGCCGGTTGTCTTTAAACACTTTTAATCATTAACGTTTATAACAGCAGGGAACGTCTTTAAAATACTGATTGAAAGAAATCCCAGAATACTTAACGAAGTAAGGCAAACGTACTGAGACATTGCCCCTTGGCGCGCACATCAATAACGTTTCACTGAATAGTTATACTTCAGCAAATTGCAATGTGTTAGACGCGCGAGTAAATAAGCACTTACAATAAGCATCCGTGTTCCAACAGGCGTGCTGAGGCAATTTTCTGGGCTCTACCAATTGTAATAAATGAACTTGCTTCTTTTAGATGGCACACTGACCTCTTTTTGATAATGTAACCTTGGAAAATGTCTCCGTAGACGTTACACGTTAAACACGTTTGCAAGACATTGTCTTTCATATTCTATCTGTTATGTTACTTACTAACACTCAAGAAATAGCAATTATAGAACCATCGCGGACATTACTTCTCATGTTATCTTATCAAGCAAGAAATTGTGTCTCCGTTGGCGTTTTAAAAGCACAAAAGTGTCAAAAGAATAAAAGCACAGTTATCAGCAGAAGCGAAAATACTGTGGAGTGTAAAAGGTATTCAGCATTACGACACATGGTCCTTCCGCGTGCTATTGTAAAGTTAGTCTGAATAATATATATTCAGCTAAGTAAGGCCCTTGCATCAGAAGCGGAAACGGAGGAGTCCCCATCACTTTCCAATCATGTGAGGTTCAAAGAAATCGTAATTCAACAACCTGAGCTTCGACCTCAATCAGTAAAGAACAGCAACCCGCCCTAAGTGAAATGTGAATTCCAATAGCCTCAGCTTTGACATGAGCGTAACGCCAGACACGTGATGATAAAGTTCGAGGTATTAAATGATTAATCATTACTGATTGAAAATTGGCTTGTAATTACGTTCATAAAGAGTGATGCCTTTCACGTTCACAGCAGGATTTATATAGAATTACGAAACCCCAAGTGACCTTTGACGAAGACTCTATCAAGAAGGGCATCGCCTCTTATAGGGCAAGTATATTCCCTACATACAGTTGCAAGAAAAATTATTGATATGTTGTGGTGG